CCGGGTTCCGTGGTTCTAGCACGGTCGCTCAACTGTTATATTTGGATTTATCTGATTTCAAAACATGTTTTAGCTTATGTGGTTTTTAACCGCTTTTATTATTATTATTTTTAAGAGAATTGCGACGTCGTGAAAACATGTCTCGAACCGCGTCACATAAATGCACCCGCGATTTTTGACACATTTTGACTTCGTCGAGATTTGGATTTGGATCACATAAATGTGCACCCGTATTTAAGAAGGTAGAATTATTAAACACGCGCCTAAAGCGACTAACGCGTTATTATCTTTGGGGAAAGCCATGAAATTCGCTAAACGGCCCATCCCGAAATCTAAGTATTTTTATAGAGACATGTAACGAGGGCCCCGCAATTTATATATTTTGTTTGGCGAGGCTCATCTCATTCTTATTATTAAAAAGGGCAAACCTAAAGCAACTACGATATCAATTTAATATTGTCTCTAAAAGGCCCTAATTAATTAACGTTGCCCAATTTAAAGCACAGCCTTAATAAAATCCTCCATGCATTTTGGGCTTCGAACTTAGCCCAGTAAGAAGAAATTTTAGTCAGCTTGAACTCAGGCCTAAATGAGAGGAGAAGGCTGTTTGACATTGGGCCCTAGACAGATTTAGGCCCAAGTCTGATTACCACTGAATTATTATAATGACTATCCAAACAGGTCAAACTAATTGAATTGATGCATTTTGAAATTATATCCTAGGGACTTCCAAGTATTGAATAAATCAGTAAAGAAGAATTGAATCCAACAGCACACTTGATACTACAATTTAGGCCCGCTTTTACACTAATACCAACTCTCAATCGGTTTTGGATTTAATTTCAATCTAACAGCTCGAACATTCAATCATTAACACAAGTGCACATCACAGATTCCCGAATCAATTTCTAGTTCAGGTTATTTGCTAGTTCTAAACGTTTAAACTAAACTAACGAACTAAATTATACTATAGCTAACGCCATTCCAAACTTAACAATCCAAAAGTCCATTATAGTCCTGTTATTACAAATTATAAAATGTTCGAATCATCTAAATCTCTACTACTGCTACCGTGTATCTAACATTCACATTCACATGACATTAAACAAACTGACATCAAATTAACACGAGTCAGATTTCATTTCTTCAATTAACCAATACACATTGACTGATTCAATGCTTCACACATCAACTGGAGCTGGAAAAGTACCTGGAATTTGAATAAAAGCAGAAGAGAAGGAGGTCACCAGCAACAAGGCAAAAAGCAGCACTCACAATCAGCAGCAACAAAGCAAATTGAAGCCCAAATCAACACCAACAAAAGCCCAGAAACGAGTAACAGAGAAGTAACAACAGCAGGAGGCCAAAACACCCTGGTTTGGACCCAAATTGACTCGAAACCACAACCAACAGACCTCTGAAGTTCAACAATCAATACACTAGGAGCAATTGAATCATTTTACTCTTTGAATTAAGCTAGGATTCGCAACAGTGATTAAAAGGCCAATAAAACAGTGTTTCCTAGAGAGTTTGTTGCTTTTTTTTTTTGGTTTTTTAGAAAATCCAAGATCTAAAAGAGTTTTTGGATTTTGAATTTTTGAATTTCAGCTGATGGAAACTTGGAATATTTTTGGGTCTAGAGCTGAAAACTTGTGGCTTAAGGCAAAGAGGACTGCCTTTTATAGGCATAAGGGAGGGCAGCCCTCAATTTTCTAGTTTTCTATCCTAGTCCCTCTTTATTTTCAGATCAGTCCTCTATTTTTTAACTTGTTACCCAAGTTACTACCCTAAATTTACTGAAATCTAACTTGAGCCCTATTCTAGAAGATTCTAAGGAATTCTATTCTAATCTACAGCATTCTATCCTATTATCAAATGCCCAAAATACCCCTGAATACCCTGAAATTACTAACCTTATCTCAACTAAAACCCCAGCCCCTTTCACCATACCTACATACTATCAGCTATAACCAATCACCTAAAATTGATCAGAATTAAACTAGAATAAAAGAATTACTAACACAGAATGATAAAGATCAAACAATGCTCAACAAGACTACTTAGAGTTCAATTAATCCTATAGGAGTAATACTGAAATGAAGGAAAACAATTTACTAACTCTAAAAGAAAATCATATGACCAACCAAAACTACCAGAATCAATATTAAGCTAAAAAGAAACAATTACTAAATCAATTAACATTTAAGACTAATAATCGAAATTTAAACTAAAACCTAGAACATGCTTAAAACTAATTTTAAAGGCCTTAGATCACAACTAAACGAAGAAATTATTATTTTCCCAAAGAGAAGCAGACACATCCTAATCGAATCAAAACTAACAAAGAATCCGACTAAACTAACAATTAATTGCCTGAACTAACTAAACTAACGTTTAAACTATCAAAACAAAACAACAATCAGACAAAAATTAAACTAAACTAAAAAAATCAAATCATCACTGAAATTAAACATAAGCAAAATTTAAAACTAATCAGAAAATTAGGAGAGGCACTCATTGTCTTAATCAGAAAAAGAGAAAGGAACATAAAAAAGACGAAAAAGAGGACTCACGGCTTGACTCGAACATTCATACCGCCTCTTTGATTCAAAATTTGAGCGTCTTGGGCGTGACTTGAGCATCAATGACGGTGAATTCTTCATGAGAGGAGTGTGGAGGCCATATGGTATCGATTTGGTGAAGTTTGGAGAAATTAGGTTTCGGCCGGAATTTTTCGATTTGAAACCCGAAACGTTCAACTGATATTTGAGGGAAAATGGTTGTGGATTTGGGTTGAGGGAGTTTAGGGGTGTAAATTTGGTCGGATTTGGATGACCTTGCGTTTTGGCCGGATTTTTGATCTGATATTCGAGAAGATGGGCTAAGAATTGAAAGAAATTTCTTTGGTGGGTGGAAAGAGGAGGGGAAGACGAGTCTATGGTGTATTTTTGGGGTCGATTGGGGTTGCGCCGCCGGCGGAGACGATTTCCGGCCGGCGGCGACGGCGGAGGAGTGGTGGCGAACGGTGGGGCTGAACAGGGTACGAGGATGGAGGCTTTTGTCTCTAGGGTTGATAAGATTATTCAAACACTTTTATTAATTACATTGAACTGATGAGAGCCGTTGGATGATGGGAGATGAACGACCAAGATTCAAGGGTCAAAAACGACGTCGCTTTGATTAAATGGGGAGGACCGGGTGATTTGGGTTTGGGCCAATTTGACCTGGGTCTTGAGGGATTTTGATTTGGGCTGATTGAGAGACAGCCCAAAACCAACCGGCCTGATACTTCTTTATTTCATTTTCAATTCCTTTTATTTATTTTTCTTCTTTTCTTTTTGTATTTTATTTACTTATTATTTGTTTTCATTTTGTATTTTTATGTTTTTCTAACTTTATTAAAATGCAAAATCAAAAGACCTAATTTGTTTCCAAAATTAAACTAATTAATTCCTAAAAATCTATTAAATCCTATTTAAAAGCAAACCCATGACAAATTCAACAATTAACAATTAAAAATGCAAAAATGGACTATTTTTGTTATTTTCATTAAATTTTGTTCTAAAAACAACTTAACCACTAAATAATCCTAAAATATGAAATTAGATCCTAAATGCAAATGTCATGTGTATATTTTTATATTTTTCATATGAATTAAAATGCACAAATAAAATGCAAACAATTAACCGAAAATAACACAAAATTCACAAAAGTCTAAAATAATGAAAAAAAATTATTTTGTTTGAATTTTTGGGAATAATTCATATAGGGCAAAAATCACGTGCTCACAGCTGCCCCTCTTTGCCCGGAAACACGAAGAGTTTCCGTGCAAAGATGAGTGAGCAAATACGAGCGATTTTTGCCCGTTTGAATATTCCGTGTGAAACATTTTTGAAAACCGTCTGACCGAACCCTGCTTCAAAGGTTGCCTACATATCCTTGGCTAAAAAGGAATCAGGTCAGTGTAGTTCGGGAAGGTTTGGTAGCTGGGACTACCAGGAGCTATGATTTCACTGTTATTGCTGTTGCTACTGCTCGCTGACCTCCTTATTACACCATGTTAAAACAAAAAGAAGCTAGCCTAAGCTATGATCTATGAATTACAAAAGGGTCCTATCTATGTCTTCTAACTTGCTCTTGTGTTGCCTTGAACTTGTATTCTTCCACTGGAATTCTTGCGTTGTTGCCTTGCATTGTGATTGGAGATGTTTCGCCATTCCTCCGAGTGATGCTGGACTGCTGAAGTTTGAAATATGTGCCTCTATTCTCCAGGCGGGCTCCTGATTGCTGACGCTTGAAAAGTATTCCCTTGTTCTCCAGGTGGGCTCCTGACTGCAACGCTTGGAAAGTATTCCCTTGTTCTCCAGGTGGGTTCCTGACTGCGACAAAATAAACAACAAAGAAAATTTCTGCCCCAGTTTTGGTGACTGGGTATAGCATTTTATCAAATATAAAAAATTAAAAGCTAAAATTTGAATTGTACTTCCCTTGTTCTCCAGGTGGGCGCCTGACTGCTGAAGCCCGAAAAGTATTCCCTTGTTCTCCAGGTGGGCTCCTGATTGCTGAACTTGAAAAGTATTCCCTTGTTCTCCAGGTGGGCTCCTGACTGCAACACGCTTAAAAAGTATTCCCTTGTTCTCCAGGCGGGCTCCTGATTGCTGAAATTTGAAATATTCCCTTGTTCTCNTTCACTTTGATAATCACAACGACTCAATCCTTATATAGCTCCTTAAAAGACACAACCATCTTTTTGTTGTGAGTTTTGTTCTTTCAGTTTATATATTATTTTCATTTGTTTCTTTTAATTGGTCATATGTTATTATATTACTGACTTAAACTGCATGCAGTATACGTTGAAATATCCAGAACATCACATTTATACTCCCGCCTTACAAATTCATGATAAATCAATACGTTAATGATTTCCCATGCAACCAATCAGGAAATATAGGTACCTCACTTCTCTACATGAGGAAGAGAAACAAAAATGAAAATATATTGGCCCAATGCAGGTTCTGTCTCGAAACCTGCGACCTTCGCGTTATTAGCACGACGCTCTAACCAACTGAGCTAAATGGGCCTTGATGCCTGGAAAGGTTGTGTTCTATTTATCATTTGTAAAGTAAGAATTTTAGCCAAAACCAAAGCCATAAGCCTAACGAATTCTTGANGGCTGTTGAATTAAGATGAGTTACCGTTCCAGTTCAATCTAATTTTAATCCAGTTGTGTCCGTCCAAGCTACGATATTAACTCTACTAAACTAAACTGAACTTCAATTTAATGATAAACCTGCTAATGTACTGATTTTCAACTAACATGGAGATCCAACTACACTACATTAGGATACTGCTCCAGAACAAATGAATACAAATTCAAAATTACAGTCCAGTATAGTTCAAACTTCAAAGTCCATATTATTACAAGTCTAGCCTAAACTGTATCAAACAGCACACATTAACTAGCAATGTCTAATTATTGATATACAGCATTCAAACGAGTGCGAATCGCGAAACAAGAAACGTGAGCCATGCTTTATTTCATTTCCATTTTTGATAGCTACATCGAAGCAATTGTGAGATGTGTACCTGGAAATGTATGATAACAAGAGAGAATAGAGAGACCAGCAATAGTGCAGCAGATCGGAGTTTAACAGCATCAAATAGGACCAGATTTAAATCCAAACCAATATCAAAGTGCCCAGGCAGATGTAAAATCAACCAAACACCTTAAATCTACTTGAAATCAACCTTAGGAAGTCATAGATCACATTCAACAATCAGAATTACCCAGCAACAACCTCAATAAACTCCAAACGACTCCAGATGCTCTAACAATCGAACACAGAACAGAGAAATAGAGAAACTCGAACTGTTTCTGATCCTAAATGATCAACGTAACAGTATTTTTTTTGGTTTTCTGCTATGTTTGCCTTTTTTGGTTTTTCTTTGTGAAGAAGCTAAGATCTAAAGGAATTTCTAATTTGAAATTTGAATTTCAGATCTGTGAAGCTTGAAGAGATTTTTGGGGGGAATTTTTTAGGCTCCCAACTTGTCCATTAAGGCACTTAGTCATGTCTTTTATAGGCAAATATGAGGGCAGCCCTCAATTTCTGTTTTCTCTCTTAGTTCCTCTTTATTTTCAGATTTAACTTGTTACCCAAGTTACTATCCTAAATTTACTGAAATCTAACTTGAGCCCTATTCTAGAAGATTCTAAGGAATTCTATTCTAATCTACAGCATTCTATCCTATTATCAAATGCCCAAAATACCCCTGAATACCCTGAAATTACTAACCTTATCTCAACTAAAACCCCAGCCCCTTTCACCATACCTACATACTATCAGCTATAACCAATCACCTAAAATTGATCAGAATTAAACTAGAATAAAAGAATTACTAACACAGAATGATAAAGATCAAACAATGCTCAACAAGACTACTTAGAGTTCAATTAATCCTATAGGAGTAATACTGAAATGAAGGAAAACAATTTACTAACTCTAAAAGAAAATCATAAGACCAACCAAAACTACCAGAATCAATATTAAGCTAAAAAGAAACAATTACTAAATCAATTAACATTTAAGACTAATAATCGAAATTTAAACTAAAACCTTGAACATGCTTAAAACTAATTTTAAAGGCCTTAGATCACAACTAAACGAACAAATTATTATTTTCCCAAAGAGAAGCAGACACATCCTAATCGAATCAAAACTAACAAAGAATCCGACTAAACTAACAATTAATTGCCTGAACTAACTAAACTAACGTTTAAACTATCAAAACAAAACAACAATCAGACCAAAATTAAACTAAACTAAAAAAATCAAATCATCACTGAAATTAAACAGAAGCAAAATTTAAAACTAATCAGAAAATTAGGAGAGGCACTCATTGTCTTAATCAGAAGAAGAGAAAGGAACATAAAAAAGACGAAAAAGAGGACTCACGGCTTGACTCGAACATTCATACCGCCTCTTTGATTCAAAATTTGAGCATCTTGTGCGTGACTTGAACATCAATGACGGTGAATTCTTCATGAGGGGAGTGAGGAGGCCATATGGTATCGATTTGGTGAAGTTTGGAGAAATTAGGCTTCAGCCGGAATTTTTCGATTTGAAATCCGAAACGTTCAACTGATATTTGAGGGAAAATGCTTGTGGATTTGGGTTGAGGGAGTTGAGGAGATTCAGGGGTGTAAATTTGGTCGGATTTGGATGACCTTGCGTTTTGGCCGGATTTTTGATCTGATATTCGAGAAGATGGGCTAAGAATTGAAAGAAATTTCTTTGGTGGTTGGAAAGAGGAGGGGAAGACGAGTCTATGGTGTATTTTTGGGGTCGATTGGGGTTTCGCCGCCGGCGGAGACGATTTCTGGCCGGCGACGCCGGCGGAGGAACAGTGGAGCAGCGAAAGGGGGTACGAGGAAGACGATGCATGTCTTTAGGGTTTTCAGACATTTTTATTAAATAAGGGGATTGAATCTGGGCCGCTAGATTATGGAGATAGATGGCTGAGATTGATGGACACCAAGACGGCATCGTTTGGATTAGTAACGGGGCAAACTGGGTTGGGGACGAGTGTGGGCTTGGACCGGGGGGAAGTTGGGTCTTCAGGGGTTGTTTTTGTTTGGGCTTAGGCAACTTTGGCCCAAATCCGGGCACCTTATTAAGACCACCATCTTTTAATTTGTTTTCTTTTGTTTTCTCCTTTTTATTTCTTATTTTGTTTTTGTTTTCATTTGTTTATATTTTTTTATATTTTCTGACTTTATAAAAATGCAAAAATAAAGACCTAATATATTTCAAAGTTAAACTAATTCCTAAAATTGTTTAAAAACTATTTCATGGAAAATTCAACAGTTAACAATTAAAAATGCAAAAATGGACTATTTTTGTTATTTTCTTTATATTTTGTTCTAAAAACCACTTAACCCTTAATTAATCCTAAAATATGAAACTAAATCCTAAATGCAAATGCCAACTGTATTTTTTTATATTTTTTCATATGAATTAAAACAAACACTAATAAAATGCAACAATTATCAGAAAATAACACAACAATTCACAAAAATTGTAAAATAATAAAGAAATCATTTGTTTGAATTTTTGGGAATAATTCATATAGGGCAAAAATCACGTGCTCACAGCTGCCCCTCATGAAGAGTTTTCGTGCAAAGATAAGTGAGCGGAAACGAGCGATTTTTGCCCGTTTGAATATTCCGTGTGAAGCATTTTGAAAACCGTCTGACCGAACCCTGCTTCAAAGGTTGCCTACATATCCTTGGCTAAAAAGGAATCAGGTCAGTGTAGTTCAGGAAGGTTTGGTAGCTGGGACTACCAGGAGCTGTGATTTCACTGCTGTTGCTGTTGCTACTGCTCGCTGACCTCCTTATTACACCATGTTAAAATAAAAAGAAGCTAGCCTAAGCTATGATCTATGAATTACAAAAAGGTCCTATCTATGTCTTCAAACTTGCTCTTGTGTTGCTTTGAACTTGTATTCTTCCGATGGAGTTCTTGCGTTGTTGCCTTGAATTGTGGTCGTAGATGTTTCGCTATTCCTCCGAGTGATGCTTGACTGTTGAAATTTGAAATATATGCCTCTATTCTCCAGGCGGGCTCCTGATTGCTGACACTTGAAAAGTATTCCCTTGTTCTCTAGGTGGGCTCCTGATTGCTGAACTTGCAAAGTATTCCCTTGTTCTCCAGGTGGGCTCCTGACTGCAACAAAACAAACAAAGAAAATTTTCTGCCCCAGTTTGGTGGCTGGGTACAGCATGTTATCAAATATTAAAACTTAAAAGCTAAAATTTGAATTGTACTTCCCTTGTTCTCCAGGTGGGCGCTTGATTGCTGAAGCTTGAAAAGTATTCCCTTGTTCTCCAGGCGAGCTCCTGATTGCTAAACTTGAAAAGTGTTCCCTTGTTCTCCAGGTGGGCTCCTGATTGCTGAATTTGAAAAGCATTCTCTTGTTCTCCAGGTGGGCTCCTGACTGCAACAAAACAAGCAAAGAAAATTTTCTACCCCAGTTTGGTGACTGGTACAGCATGTTATCAAATATTAAAAATTAAAAGCTAAAATTTGAATTGTACTTCCCTTGTTCTCCAGGTGGGCGCCTGATTGCTGAAGCTTGAAAAGTATTCCCTTGTTCTCCGGGTGGGCTCCTGACTACAACAAAATAAACAAACAAAGAAAATTTTCTGCCCAGTTTGGTGGCTGGGCACAGATGTGAGTGTTAAATTGAATTATTCTACCAAGTATTATAAGGATTTGAAAGCTAAGTCCTATTATCCAGGGAGGTCCTGACAACTCATAACAATTACGAACCTATGTTATATCTTCTAAAGGTATTACCCCCACTATATTTGTTATCTAATAGGTATTAACTACTCCCCATTATCCAGGAGGGTCCTGACAACTTCTAGTTAAAGAAAAACAATTTTAACCTAAGCAGACCTTGTTACCTATATCTTGTTATCTAAACAGACCTTAAAACTACGTCCCATTATCCAGGAGGGTCCTGAAAACTTCTAATTGAATCCTATCTTAAACATGCCAATTTTGAAACCCACTTATGCTCATTTGGGGTATAGTTATGCTAAATTGTGCTACTCATGATTGTCTTGACATTTGAACTAAGTCCCATTTTCAGGAGGGTCCTGAGAGTTTCCAGTCATACCTGTTTGGGTGCTACCTTTCCTTACGGATGGTTTCTCCGAACGAAATTTCTGCCCCTGTTTCAATCAAAGAAAAATCTTGTCAATGTAAAATGGTGGCTAGTTGCTGGCATTCTTGCTAGGTACGTCCCTGCTGCTGGGCTTTACTCCGTCCCGCTTCCCTGGACTTGCCTTGAATCCCCTCGACTTCCCGACCGAATTTCAACCCCTTGACTCTGAGGACCCAAGTGTTCTATCCCGTATTGTTGTTTTTGTGTTTCTGACCCCTCTTTTGAAACTTCGCTTCTTCCCCACAATTATCTGATTAATCCAACGATGAAACTTCCAGTGGTCCTTTATGACTTACTTTGCCTTTTGACATCTTTGATATATTCTGGCCCTGTCTGTACAACTAG